CAATTTAACCTACACCAGAATCCGCGCTGCATGTTGGGCGAAACAGAGAAGCGCTCCATCGCTTTCACAGTTCCTCAACGAAATGAATGCGCTGGCACATTCAATGAAGTGTTGAGTCTTGCGTTACTTATTTATACAGAAGTCAATCCTACTATATATAAGCGGCTAGCGTGTGTCTGTTGGTGTGTGTGTGTGTGTGTGTGTGTGTTTGACCGGAAATTCATAGCTCGAGTCACAGTAATGATAGCGCAGTGGTTCTTACATATGTTATAGGGGGTGGGATGGGGACACAAGTGGTACGTGATAGGAACTGATAACGACTGATAATAGCTGATAAGAGGGGCTAGAAAGCGAGCATCGCCAATTTCGTTTTGCCGTTCATATTGGTAAGAGCGTCTATACTTACAAGTGTTATGTGGGGCGGTCCCGGGACATTGGTGGTACATGATTGGAAGCGATAGCAACTGATAATGGCTGATAAGATGCGCTAGAACGCAAAAGTCGTCGATTCCGTTGCCTGGCTCGCGTTGACACCAGAGCATACTTCGCAAGTGTATGTGGGGTGGGACGGGGACATTGTTGGTGGGTGATGGAAAGTGATTGCAACTGATAAGGGCTGATAAGGGGCGTCAGAACGCAAAAGTCGTCGATTCCGTTACCCAGCTCGCGTTGACACCAGAGCAACCATACTTACAAGTGTTATGTGGGGTGGGACGGGGACATTGTTGGTGGGTGCCAGAAACTGATAACGATTGATAAGGGCCGATAAGGCGCGCCAGAACGCTGAAGTCGTCGATTCCGTTGCCTGGCTCGCGTTGACACCAGAGCAACCATACTTACAAGTGTTATGTGGGGTGGGACGGGGACATTGTTGGTGGGTGCCAGAAACTGATAACGATTGATAAGGGCCGATAAGAGGCGCCAGAACGCCAATTCCACGATATCCATAGAGGGCGTCCCAGCATCAGTGAGGCGTTGGTTCGAAGAAGTGTTGTGGGGGGGGGGGGTATTACGGGAGCATATATGGTGGAAAAAAGGAAGGGATAACGGCTGATAAGGGCCTATAATAACGATATGCGCAAGAATATAGAGGTCACTCAAAACCAGACTTTAGATAAAGCATTTCATTTCAATATTCTTCCATTTGCGTTGTTATCATCAGCCCGAAATACCACTAAACCGCTATGCCCCCCAGAGTTCCTAAAAATGTATGGTGTAAGTTCAAAAATACGATAACGAGTGCTGGATGTTTATATTTTAACATCACACACAATCCGACCGCTAAATTACACTGGCATTCGATGCATGGTGGTTGTTTACAGACACCACTTTAGCTCCGCACTCCACTGCGCGTATCAAACGGTGAGCTTCTGCTAAGATAAAGAGCTTATGTTAGCGGTGAATCTAGCGCTTCGTCGGCTGTCCTGTCTCATCCCGACCTTCCGTTTAATGCGCGCGGTAGCGTGCGGCGCTAAACTGTAATTATAAATCCTTATTCTATTATATTCTTGAGCCTTTCTCTCAACAAAATCTTCTTTGCGCTGATTTTTTTCGTGCTTAGTATGCCCTGTCGGGCTAATTACTAATGACTATTCGTTAGTTTCGCGACTATGAAGTAGTAGCTTAAAATATTTCTTGACTGGAAAATTTCTCACAACATAACACGAAAGGGAATTAGGTTCATAAGCACCCCGCCTTTTAGTATATCCTACCAAAGTGACATGCTTCGCCGACTAAGGATGTAGAAAATCCTTTTTAAATTTTAGTTGCTTTCCTAACCAAGGACAACCTCATAAAGTAAGCTATTCCTGTATACAGAAACAAAAAATCAATCTGAAAAGAAAGGAAGGGAGTATTTTCTACAAAGTTAATAAGTTTTTATGTATTTCCTTCCCCTCTCATCATCAGATGAACAGCATAACGTATCGCCTAATTTGCCAACCCTTGAAATCTCCAACTTCCGTTGCTCGTAGAACTTCGATATCGTCGTTTGAATCCTTTGTTCAGTCAAGAAGGTTCTTGCGTGGAACAACATCACTCTGTGTTAGCTATAGTTCGTTAAATTATTCTACAGTAAAATTATAGCGCCTGTTTGCAGGGGTAGCCTGGCCCTTGAGGAAGACAATTCGGTCAACAAGGTCAGACCATTAATAAGTCTTCCACATTCAAGCTTCTTTGGTCGAAGAAAATTTCCTAAGGCTATCCTCCGTTTCGGAAGACGAGAAGAGCTGCTTTTTTTCTTGGTCGTCGTCACTTGTGGTGAGCAGGCTGCACTCCTCTTTTTCCGAAATAGAGGTCAACTCTCGAAAATTCCCGGTTTCAAATTCGCTATGTTTGTTGGTTCCTCACTTGATTATTTCGTTTTCCGCCGTTCTACAGTATATAATTGTAAGTGTGAGGGGTGAAACTACAGGGGTTAACCTATTTCAGGTTACTCGGAAATGGCCAACTTCTCCCATGTGTGCTTAACCGAACACCAACAGATGATGAATGGCACCCCACTGGAGTACAACCTTACAGAGGTAAGCTTCCACTCACCAGGGAAGGCCCTCGACTTCCCATAGAAGTTTGAATTAAGTTTCAGACACATCGGTGGACTTTCAAAAACTTATTACAAATCTGGAAACTAAAATTGTAAAATGACGCTGCCAAGACAGTTGTAAGCAGTCAAATAATTGGGCCTGGAAGTGCAAGCGTGACGTATGCAACGCCTGCTAGCGTCCAGGATTTGAATCACGTTAAGCAGTGAATAGGCATCAGATTTCCCACCAAAGGAAAGAGCGCTCATGACCTACGGCTGGAGCGAGAGCATCACCACTACAGATTATACGGTGACCCCTAAGCACCCTTAGCACGGTTCATATGTGACGCTACCGCATCAACACTTCCAACCTGCTCACAGCTTCCTGGCAGTTACAATTTTGCAGTTTTCTAGCTTTGTGATCAGGCTTTCGAGCATTTTCCATTTCCCAAATGTAGTAATGTTATGGTTGTCTAAATTCGACCCATAGAACAGTTTGAAAACTCTTCGATGGTTAGGTGTCCGACGACTATTCAGAGTATTTCAAAAGTCTTTTGTGGATAAGGATCTTGCAACCAGACGGCATTGCACCCAATGGATATCCTCTGAGCGCTTTTTTAGCTTTCACTTCCTTCCTGTAAAATCCTCTTGTCTGGGCAATTATCCGATTTCGCCCCACAAAATTGAACAATCGTGGGTTGAGAGGGCAACCGACTTTCATTAACGGTACTGCTGTGACCAAAATGGTCAACGTGTTGCGAATGTGAAAACACGGAATTGTTTTTTTTATTCTATTATAATTACAAGCGAATATCCCTGACCGGTTAAGCCACCGTAGGGTTACGCTGAAGGGCAACACATGCGCATTTGTGTTCCATTATCAACTATAATATTACGTTCTTCAAAATTACTTGTGGTCACTGGATCAAAAAGAAAATTCTTCGTCGCTAACAATTTTTTTTCGGCTTTAGATCTGATGAGCGCACTTTTAGGGAAAGAAGATGCGCGCTCAGAGACCAAACCTAACAATGTCGTGTAGCAAAAAGGGCTTTACAACTTATTATTTGGTGTCCAGTCCTCTAAATAAACCCTGCCAAAATTCCTTTCGTGCGAAAATAAATTGCAGGTATTCATGCAGCTCATCTGGGTACTGTAGTACAACGAATGTGGACTTTAGCCCTTCTTTAAACAGTATTGAAAGTCGGTTTACGGACTTCTTCAACTTTCCTCAATGGTTCTGCCGCGAATGGCTAGAGCACAGACGATCAGGGAACGGCATATGGCTCGGCTCACAAATCCCAAGGAGGAAGGTGAGAGCCTTAGGACTAAGCCTTGGAGGAAGGAGGGACTCCGGGTGGGTGAGCCAATTACAGTGTGGCAAAAGTTTGAATGTGTGAGATCACAGTAATCATGAGCCGCTCTTAAGGCGAGAGAGCGCAGGCGAGAGCACCATACTGAGGGTTTTCAAAGAAGCGGGTTCACGTAGATCGTTGTTCGAAAGAGCCAAACTGGTGTATAGAAAGCTGGGAGAAACCGCTGAGCCTAGTGTGATTCTATTTGAGTAAACAAATGCAAAAGTACACTTTGAAAGTTCCAGCAAAAGCCTTGCTCTATGCACAAGCGTATTTTATTGAGTAAGTGACAATTTGCTTGAAGTTTTCCCGGTAGACCAGCTAAGTTGTATTTATCGAGGGCTTATTAAGAACTCGGCACAGCGCCTAGAAGCAGATTGAATTCTTGCCCCTTTTAATGATTAACTCTCTTGTTTAGATTACTTCACCCCAGCGATTAGGCCGTACTTCGTATCGCGATAGCCGTATTCGGTATTCTGGGTAATGTCCTCAATTTGACAGTGCTGCTCAATCCGGGTATGCGAAGCCGGTGAGTTCTCATGCGGTCGTCTTTAACATTTGAAAGATCTCTTGTACCCATTCCAAACTATGAGTGATCTTTGCTCATAGGACACTTCTCGGCATTGCGTCGGTGTGCAATCACACCCGAAGATTTCCCCCTGGGAATTCCACCGTTGCTTTGGGCGTGTTAGGCGTATAACGAGAACAAGGCAGGGGTAAACTGGCTTGAAGCGGTTGTTTATGCAGGCTTCACAATGCATAACTGACTAAGTTTGCTGTCCAAATACGGCAACACGTGTGAATGGATTCGACGAAAATTCCATTTCATTGGAAGGGATGGAAGGGGAAGAATCATTGCGTGGCAATTGTTTTCACGCTCGGGATCCCACGGATCAAAGGTCATTGGCTTCGAAACACTGCCTCGTGGCCACGGAAATTACATTCGGCGACAATCAAACCAACAGCCGACGGGGGTTATATCTCGTAAGTGCATGGGACTCTGGATGAGTGAACAATTCTAGCGGGTCCGGGTACGGGTCTGAAACTATGCTCGAAAGGCACTTTCGGGTCAGCTGGAAATATAACCTGATTTGGTCACTGTTTGTGAAGTATAGGAAGTTCTCATCATGGATACGATTTGTAGCCTAAGACGTGCTCATTTCAGGGCAAACACGTTCCTGGCCGTATTAGCCTTCGCCGACATTATTTTCTTGTCGCTATTATTTCCAAATATACTCGCCAACTATTCATTTTTCACCTTCAATTACTATTTTCGATATTTCTACTTCCACACCAAAGTGCACCTGATCTCATTGGCTAATTGGTGTTCTGCAGTGGCTATATGGTGAGTCTTTAGAGTGCGCACTTTATGCAAGGGGTGCAACTTGAAGGGTGAGGTCTAGGTGAGTTTTTTAGAGTGCATATTTGATGTCAAGCATAGCGATTATAGTGAGGCGGAAGTCATTGTTCTATAATTGCTTGGTTCCCGAGATCATGCCCGCGACAAGCAATCCGCTCTTTCGACTTTCCGAAGTCAGCTGCTCTCGAGCAGACTTGCCGGGTGGAATCAAGCATTGCATTCACATGCTTTCCGAGATCAAACGGAAAAAAATGACTCTACATATTCCTGCGGGGAGACGATGTGGTCAGCGTTGGCATGTGGAAGGGCCCACATTGTTCGAGTAGAAAAGTTAACGGGTCGGGTTTGAGTTAGCTCCAAACTGCAGGGTGGGCCAAAATTATGAGGACCAAGACATTGTGTCGTTAAAAACGCATAGTAGCTTGATGGAACAAACAAACTTCAGGGAAGTGTTTGCAACTCTTATCTCAAAGTAATTCCAGAATAGAATTGAGATCTGCCACCTGCCGCGTTCACGCGAGCCTTCAGATGAAGGGGATGGCGCACAAAGGCGTCTCAAAATGTTTCCAAGCCCTCTGCCTCCGCTTTTCTTCAGGGGATCGAAGTTTTGTGGCACTTGCCTCCAGGGTGTAAAATACAGAAGTCTAGTGATATAAGATAAAAGGTTCCTATGTAACAATTCTTCAAAAGCAAGGAACTCGAAAAATCGCTTTTCAGGGGATTTTGTCCATAGCTACTCGAGTGGCTTTCTATCCACTACAGATGTGGAGTCTTTAGAGTGTCTGGCTGGGTTTTCACATCAATTTTTTCATTTTGGGAGTACGAAAGTCGACAAGGGGAGAGCTAGTTTCTGCATCTGATAATTGTCCTGGTGGTAACTGTAACTTTCGAGCCTCCGAATTTTCCATCTGTGGTGGTTCCAAACTTATTGAAGAGTTGAACTGTTGCTCATAAGAGCTTCCCTGATTCGTTGGACTGCCGCTAGATGCAACGTGCCACAGCCCCTAGTGAGTTCAATTTGAGGACTGACGTAAGGTGATGCAGTTATTTCACTAGTTGAGAAGTGCATGAATATTTGGTTTCAGTAGGAAGAAGACATTGTACCCTTTCACATAGTGCACAGAAAACGAGATGAAAATGGAGCGATACGGAAAAAAGTGGATATGACTGCGCGCGCACGCGGTCCTCATAATTTTGGACCACCCTGTATATTCCCAAGTCCCCCATATGTATGCCCACGGACTCATCTGAAAAAAAAAATGTTTTGCAAGCTGTAAAATACGCGTTTTGAGCGTTTGCGTGCTCACAGTTGTTCTCGTGCGTCAAGCACTCACTTATTTCTTTGCTGTAACACAATAAAAAAATGCTTGTATAGAGAGATTGTAGTAGGGCTATGCCGATGCACAGCATTTTTGTTCTTTCCAAAACTCGGGTATACAATTCCTAAGGGGTTCGCTATTCTGCGCTACGCTCCATCTAAGATACCCTTGATCTGCGCATGCAATCGCCCTTCCAAATTGCATTCCACGGCTTCATCCCTCACCTTCTTCTGACGATCATTAAAATGTTGCTGCGATTATTGATGGATGTCGAATTCACGGCGCATCCTAAAAGCGATTTACCAACACTGCGCGTTTCATTGTGTTATTCGCCGATAAGATGTGTATGAATAAACGAAATCACTTGAGTTTCAGGTGTGTGATAGCTGTATGTAGCGATCGCCTTGTTGGAATTCGTAATCCTCTTTATGCCAGGGCGTCGTGGTCGTGGTGGTGAGTACATGTATTTGTTCAACGGGCAATCGAAAAACCATTAGAAAAATCAGTGTCTCGAAACAACCTTATCCACGGTTATTTCCCAAAACGGTCGATTCGTGGTCGGCTCCGTACCTTTCATAGGTCCAGTAGTAGTAAAGCAAAATGTACATCAAATGGAATTTGGAATTGTGTCATAGAATTTTGGATATCGGAAATTGGAACAGCGTCAGATTAGGGCTTCTCGCTTTCTGAGGCCATTTTCGAAGTTATTCGCCGAATTTTAAAGTATTGAAAAATATTGGAGTCTTCGTGGTTCAAGGTCCAACGGGGCAGAAAGCACCACATAACACAATAAGCTGCAAATGGGAAGTTCGCTAAGTAAGCAATATGAAGGCGCTTCATGATTTATGAAAGGCACCAGAAATCAAAAATTGTTGTCCAAGATATTTATAGAATTAAACGAGACAATGTGGAAGTAGCCGTTTTATTTAAAAAAGTAACAAAAAAGGGTAATGTGGGTCAAAATGACCAACGGTTCTCACTGTCAACTCATTCTCTCCACAACCGACACAATACCCTCAAGTGAATCGGCACACTGTGATCTATGATCCAATTTTATGAACTAACTTGAGCCACCCAATTATAAATTTGGTACATTGCGCTATGTTATAGTGATCCCAATGGAGCTTGTTAACCCCACAAAGAGCGTGTACCGATGGAATCTTTCTTCAGTAAAAAGCCTCTGAGCAACATTCCCAACTGAAGTCGTCTCGAAAGCTTTATTCTACGGGTGGAGTAGAGCTCGCCGGTTTATTGCATTGTCCGTAGTCGCAGCTCCAACGATCAATGGCGCTAGGCCCTAAACAGGGAGTACATGACGAGAAATCTCGAGCACACCCCATGACACGCAACTTGGATGACGACTTGGTGGCTAACTCAAATACGCCAGGGTTAATAGGGCCATGGAGCTATCAAGTTCAGACAACTCGTCTGACACGCCCCTAGCTCCTTTCTGGGGAACAGAGTCCTTGTGAAAGCGCGGTTCGCTTTGTTTCAGTCAACTTGGCTTCTACAATTTTATCGACCGCTGTTACCTCACCAACTTGATTTGGGGTTATTGCTTCAATATGGTCTGTGAGAACTCTTCCACTCTTATCAGTGCTAAATTTGTTGGTGCTAGGTACAAGTAGTAGTAAAGTTAGCAAAAAGTTGTAAGTACTAAGGATGGTAAAAACTTTAAAAACCGTTGTTGACAGTTGGAATGAGCAATTGGGTGGGGAGAGGTGCACGAAAAGTGTACTTGTGCCTTCAGTTATTCCTTCCGATGTGCATAATTTTAGCGGCTACGTCACATCATCCCATATTGTTCCTCTTTTCTACTCATTTGATTCCGAGACCTTTGTTTTTTTAGGAAATTGCCAGCTGTCATAATTTGTATTGTGGCGGTGGCCGGCAGTTTGACCTTCTATCAGCACTTTGAGTACTATTGCTTGGTTCGATCATATTGTCATGAAACCCAACTGTACTCCAGATGTTTGCCAGTATACAGCGAGTGAGTTCCTTTTTCTGAGAGTTCTTGAGAAATGAATTGAACCGAAAATTTCATAAGCCTCTTACAATACCTCTTACAAAATCCGAATGTCTTGACTTGGAAATAAGTCACGCAAGCGTAAAGGGGGATGGAGTAAGTGGGACGCGCATCCGCGCCACAATGTCCCACGTGGCCTGCAGCCTGGTTGCGCGCTTCTAACATGCTCGGTGCGTTTATAAATATCCACGGGCCAGCTAGAAATGACCATTTCTAAAAATCCTTTCACAAACTTTCGAGATTTTTGAGGTCTCTTGCGTCTAATAACCTTTAGAACACCTAAGGTTATTTTCAGCTACAGTAGCTAGCTCCATCTAATAAAATATAGAAAATCAGTTTGATTACTTGCTATTGTTTGTACGTGCTGACGCAATTCTGTTCCTATCCATCACCAGTAAACACTTCACATCACTCCGTCGGGTATGAAAACAACCTCAACTGAACTACACGCCCTACTTGGTCATAATTCACTTGCACCATTTGCGTCAATGCGATACTCATTAACATAACTGTAATGGAGGCTAAATTGATATTGCACGCTAGTAAGTAACTTCTATTTTGCACCGAAGCTCGTTAATGTCTTAGATCGATGACGTCATTCGCGCACGACAATTCGCCATAAATATTAGATATTACCAGCTATAAATGAAGCTGTGAAAGCGGCTACATTGAGCATGGG